TCTTGGGTGAAGGACTGGTATTTGTTTTGTTTTTTTTTTAAAAAAAACAATGTTTCTCAATCTTGGCCACTTTAAGATGTATGGACTTTAATTTCCAGAATTCCCTAGCTAGCATGGCTGGCTGAGGAATTCTGGGAGTTGAAGTCCACTCATCTTAAAGTTACCACGGGTATGAAATACTGGTTTAAGGACAAGCACTCTGTCCTTAAATGACTCCTCCTAAATAGCACATCTTTTAAAGGGGGGGGGGCAAGATGTAGAGAATAATTTGTTCATTTTTCTTCCAAGGACATCAGCTTAGCTTCAGCAGATACTGAAAATATGACTAACACAAATCTTTGATACCTGAGAATATCAGCCAGGCTGTATGTACCTGAGTCCATGACCTGATTAATAAAGCATGCTAAGTCATATGGTGGTTTGCAAACTGCAATGTGATGACTAGATTCATTAGACATGCTGAACCATAGAATTCGAGAGCTGAAAAGGATCACTGGACTCTTGAACAAAGTCTGCAATTTAGTGCAGGAATCTAAACTGAAGCATCTTCAGACTATAATCTAACAGGTTATATTAAGGATTAACCCAACATGTCACCCATTCATTCAGTGTACAAGTGGATTCACACTTTGCACTATGCTTGATGTTTGTTTAGTTTGGATTAATGTGTTATTCAAAACTCAGCCAATTGCAGACAGTGGTGTAGGAATCCAGTTTGAGTCTTGCACTCTAAAGCTAAACCATTTCATTGTTTGCTAGATTTTTATTTAACATGTTTAAATCTGTTGGTTATGGTTTATAAACCTTGGGTTCTTACTTGAATGGCTTAATGTAACACACTAACCCCAAAACAAACAACCCATATTGTCATCCTGCACAAAATATCATGCAAAGTAGGCAAAGTGCAAAATGGCTTATATTTTGTTGTGAATGTAAAATGTTTAAAAAGCTTAGGTCAGTGGTATACTTTGCTTAGGTTGGATTAACATATTGCTAAAACTCAGCCAGTTGTAGGTCATGATGTAGGAGCAGGTATAGTACAGTTTGCCTCTTGCATTCCCTTATCTGCCCACTTAGTGATTGGGTTTCTCACATGTCACTTTTCCATAAAATGTTTATGTGGTGACCACAGTTAAATAAATCATGATTTAGCACTATATAAATCCCGCCACAAGCTGATTTCGCACATTGTGCTAAATTATAACACAGCTTGCTTTGTTTTAGTCAAGTGTCTTGTCTGAATCAGATTTGTGGGTTTTAAACCATGTTTTATAATTTATCTCAAAGACTATTATGACTTGTGTAACGAACTGTGGTTAATGCAGACCGTATCTCAGCACACTGAGTGAATCTTGCAAATATTGCCATCATCATCATCATCATCATCATCTATTCATTAAGGAAACCTTGTGTTCAGTCTGGGCAAACTAGTTTCCCCAAGCAGACCGGCTTTCTGCTGCCCTCACCGCCCTTTCAGAGTTTGGTTCTTAATTGTAGCCAAGCAGCTTACCACTTTCACACCCTGTCCACTTATTGGTGTAATCCTGACTAGTCATGGACTTTGTGTCACAGTGATGGCTGTGCTTTGCTGGAGCTGGTTGGTTACCTTCTCCCCTTAAATCCCTCACCGTCCTGTGGTTCCTGGCAACCTGTTAAAGCATTCTGTCATCACCCAGCCAAACCTTAGCTACATCAGACTTGAAGAATGTTGGTAAAGACTTACCACTTTACTTTTTGTTCTAGTTGTCATTGTTATTAACCTGCCTTCTCATTGTTATTATAAATATAAACCACACTCAGAATACAAGCCCTAACTTGGATTTTGTCTGCTCGGAGAGCTCTCCTGGTTCATGATCACCTGGGAACACCCTTCCCCAAGATGGTGCCCTTCCAATGCATGAGGGCTGCTGTTAGAATTCTGGGAGTTGAGGTCCATTTGTCTGCAGAGCTCCCAGGAGAGAAAAGTCTGCCCTAGATGTTGTGGAAAGAGCACCATTACGCGGATGTCCCAAAGGTGCTTATTTCAAGAGGCAACTGGACTTTCTTGTTTTTCTTTGAAGACGTTTCACTTCTTATCCAAGAAGCTTCTTCAGCCCAGAACTGAAGAAGCTTCTTGGATAAGAAGCGAAACGTTTTCAAAGAAAAACTAGAAAGTCCAGTTGCCTCTTGAAAAAAAGCACCTTTGGGAAAACCATGATCTGGACTGGAGGACTGAGTATCGTCATAGATCATTACATGGAGTTTAGTCAGCTGGGAAGTTCAGTCCCAAGTGAGCAAGGTATACATAGCTACATGTCTTTGGAGAGCAACTTTATTTTGTACACGAAAAGTAAATCAGTGCCTTAGTTAAAGAAATCAAGCAGCCAAGTACTATGCATGCTTACTCCAAAGGCAGGATAAGAATGAGCCCTGGGTTACTATGAATAGTGGTGATATTGTCGCATTTGGACACAACAGGAAGTTGAGGTCTAAAGGAAACTGACTTAACAGAAAAGAATGGAGTGCTGGTTACTTGCAGCCCACTTTTTCTGCCAGAGGATGATGGCAAGGTAAGCTAGTGAGGGAAAGGAAGCTGATTATTTTATCTCAGCCAAGATATTTGACTTTTTACTTCCAAGGGATTGTAAATTAAGGTTAGTGTTCAGTTTACAAATCCTGGCTTCTTTGGAAGCGGCAAATTCCAAGCCCGTTTTACATAATATTCTTTTACAAAAAATAGTTTCTATTCAGGAATTTTATGTAATAGAAAAAATATGAATTTAAGAAAAAAAGAATAAAGGAAAGTGGTGAATAGGAAACAGGAAATAAATTTATCATCTATCCTCCTCCTCCTTTACAGTTAACCACGTGATTCCCTCCTTCTCATATTTTCCCCTTTCCAATCATCAGATCCATCAGTCACCAGTTCATTTTTACCGTTTTCAGCAAAAGGCCCATAATGCGTTTCCCATAGCATTCATTTTGTGGAGTAATTAAACCATATTTGCTGGTGGCCATAGGCAGCCAGGTGCAAATTGGCTCTGGGTGCTGGTTCTGCAGTCTGCAGCATCTCCCTCGGTCAGGGGTAGGCAACCTTGGCTCTTTTATGACTCGTGGACTTCAACTCCCAGAATTCCTGAGCCAGCCATGCTGAGGGGAAAGGGAGAGGTTTCCAAGCTGAGCCATGCTGGCTCAGGAATTCTGGGAGTTGAAGTCCACGAGTCATAAAAGAGCCAAGGTTGCCTACCCCTGATCTAGGTGCATGCCTAGTTTCTAACCACATCTGACTTATATCTTTCAAGAATAGTTTTATTTCGTTAAAAAAATAGGACATGCCACCGAGGATAATAGTAGAGAGCATTCTATGGTGGGTCAGCTAGAGAAGGTGTGATAGAATATATTGCCAAGTCCACCCTTCTGTCCCCAATAGCTAGATTTTGGGGTTTTTTTCCAAGAATTTTATTAACATTATATAAAATACAGAAGACAATACAGATAGTAGAAAGTGGGGAAGGGAAAGAAAAGGGGATGGAAGGTGTATGTACCTGGGGAAAGAAAAAAAAAGTCCAACTTTTTTCAGCGCAATAAAGTACAGAATAAAATTACAGCCTCAACTTTTTTACTTCACCAGCTTAATAAGTACTAGCTATTTCTATATCAACTAACTATATTAATCAGCAAAATCCAACGTCAAGGGTTCATTTTTCTCTGTCTTGAGCACAAAGTCCAGAAGCGGTTTCCAAGTAATAGCTGCCATTTTGTGAACACACTGTCTCCCCCGATAGCCATTTTGAGGAATGCCCACAATGCATTCCTGCAAGTTCAAATGTGCCCATAATCTCAGGAAGGTTCTGGCAGGCAGCTTGTTCTGATAAATCAGAGTTCTTCAGAATGCCAGCCTGCTGTTGCAGGCAAGCCTGCCGCCCAAGGAAGTTCCTCCCCCAGCTTTTAACCGTCCTTTCACTCTGTATTCAGAAAAAAATGCTTGATCCCATTAAGCCAGTCCATGTGCTTTCTCCTTCACATGTAATTATTTTTAGGTGATACAAGTAGTTCTCGACTCACGACCACAGTTGAGCCCAACATTTCTGTTGCTGAATGAAATAGTGGTTAAGTGAGTTTTCCCCAGTTTTACGACCTTTCTTGCCACAGTTGCTAAGGGGAATCTGGCTTTCCCCCCTTAACTTTGCTTGTCAGAAGGTCGCAAAAGGTGATCACATATCCCCCTGGACACTACAGCCATCATCAATGTGAGTCAGTTGCCAAGCATCTGAATTTTGATTGCATGACCATGGGGATGCTGCAATGGTTGTGAGTGTGAATAATGATCATGTCCTTTTTTTTAGTGCCACTGTAGCTTTGAATGGTCACTAAAGGAACAGTTGTAAGTCAAGGACTATTTGTACTTGAATTCAGCTTTGCTTCTCCTCTTTATCTTGGGAATATAATTTTTGCATGTGAGACAATTATCCACTATGGCAGGGATAGGCAACCTTGGCTCTTTTATGACTCGTGGACTTCAACTCCCAGAATTCCTGAGCCAGCCATTCTGAGAATTGAAGTCCACGAGTCATAAAAGAGCCAAGGTTGCCTACCCCTGCACTAGGGGAACCTCTTCCCGTGTATCTCAGAAAATAGAACCACTTTTAGTTTAGAGGGTTCTTGTTTGCTAACTTTTTAAATATGCAAAAAACGTATATCACTACTACTATGCCAGAGCGAAGTGGTAGAAAATCTGTAAGTCAGTGTTTCTCAACCTTGCTGGCTGGGGAATTCTGGGAGTTGAAGTCCACTCATCTTTAAATGGCTATGGTTGAGAAACACTGCTGCAAGCGATTCTAATTCATCAAAAGTTAGCTGCTAATGGAGGCAAGGCTGGGCCTGTTGAATTGTGGAACATTGAAGTCCGGACAGTGATTGACTGATGCTCTTGCCAGAGACATCCTGGCGGGGTCTCCATCTTTTACTCCTTGCTGGATTTTTGAATGTAAAGCATTCTCACACAACATTTCCTCCTGTAGGATTACATTTGCCCAAGGTGCGAATCTGGTTTTATTGAAGAGCTGCCTGAAGAACCAAGGTAACAAGCCTTTTTTATTTTTGAAATAAATGCGTATGTGGGGTAGCTCTGCCTCAGGCGTTGACAAGATTTTCCCAAGAACTATTTTCTGTCTGCATGTGAGGGGGTGGATCCACATATAGATCAGTATGATTGGTGGATAGGAAGCTTTGTACTGAAAACTCCCCATATCTAGAAGATATGCAAAGCTGATGAAGGTCCTTAGCCAAAATCTTCTTTTCCTTAGAATAACTGACTCTTTCCGTCATCCTTGGCCACAGGCCAAGAAGGAAAAACTCTGTTCATTTCCCAACATTTTTGTCCCCTTCTTCCTGGCCCACTTCCCTCAGATGCCTTCATGAATGATCTCCCTTGTCTGAAGTTGGAGGTGATCAGTGCTTTTTTGAAGAAAAAAAAAAAAAGGTGCCAGAACTAACACACGTTATACAACCCACCTTGCCTACCCTACAAGGTTTACCTTTGTAGTTGGGGGAAAAAACCCTTCAATTTTTAGTGTATCTGAAAGACTAGGATTTTGTTCAAGGTAAGTTAATACTGTTAATGTTACCATGCACTGTGTGGCTTTAAATTACAAGAAGGCATTTTATTAATCTTTTGGGACATTTACCATTGGCATACCCATTTAGTTTAATGAGTGGAAATGTCAGCTTTCTATGTGGAATGAAATTGGCCCAATAAAACAAAATTTGGTTGCCTGTAAAAGATTGGAATTATTTTTAAGAAGTTGTCAAACAAGGTGGAAAAAATTACATTTGGAGTTTAATATGAATATTGATTTGAAACAAATTAAAGTTGAAACTTTGTCAGTGAACAGATTACTTTTAATTTACCTTTAAGTTAAACCCAGTTTAATAAATAGATCTGATTAAACCTCATACTGTAGGTCTACCTTTACATCTGACCAGTACATAATTAATATATATTAATAATAATAATAATAATACCTTCAAATCACAAGACATTGGCTTTATTCTTATTCTTCCCCTCTGCAGTTTGAATATAAAGTATAAAAGACTAAAAAGATTTTCGTAGACATCCCAGCCTTTGAACTACCCAAGGAACTGAAACAGCAAAGTTTTGCTATCAGGCAAGCTTCCACGCCAGCCGCCTTTCTTTCCTCTCACTTCGCCTCTTTTTAACCTCACACCCCACTTTCTGTAAGGGAGGGCAAAAGGCTCACTCACCTTCTCGTGAAAGATGGCCTCCATGTTTATGGGTCTCCCACCACCACCATCGGCTTCCACACCACATGATCCGACCCAACCAATCAAGCCACGCTCTGTGGCGCTCCGGCACCTCATGGCTCCTCCTAGAGGAGGCAGACAGCGCCAGAGGGGACCCCGCTCACACCATACCGCCAGCGGAACATTTTCAAAAACAATGAGAATAGGAAGGGAAACAATAGGAAAAGAACGCAACTCTGGAAAATCCATTGAAAAAAAGGTGCTGGAACTCCGTTCCGGTGCGTTCTATGACAAAAAAAAGCCCTGGACGTGATACAGTCTTATTTCCTCAGTTTGTTTCTGCCACACATATTTCAAGGAAAGAGTGGCACACAAACTGATTAAATGTCATTAGCTGACTCATATCTTGTGCAAGTCGTATGCTTAAGCAATGCTAAATTTGCAAGATCAGTTTAGATCCTAATATGGGTAGTCCTTGAAATGCAGCTGGTTGCTTAGCAACCATTCAAAGTTATGACCGATCCCCAAGAGGGGACTTATGACCTGGATTCGAAGATCCGACAATTGGTCCCTCTCAATGGCCATGTGACCAAACTTCGGTCGCTCAGCAACATGTCCACATTTGCAGGTGTTTGCAGTGTCCTGGTGTCACATGACTGCATTTTATGTCTGCAAACTGCTACTTCTGGTTTTCAGCAAAACTGCATCTACCGAACCTTTGGTTTGCTTAACAGCTGTGGTCATTTGTTTCATGACTGTGGTGGTTCACTTAATGACTACTGCAAAAATATGCTAAAATAGGATGGTTGACATACGACCTTAATGGGCAAATTCCATTATGTTCATATGTCAAGGACTACTTGTATCCATAACGCAACAAATGACTTGGCCTTGATATCAGCCCTTTGATGTAAAGGGGGTCAAGAAAGAGGTTCCATAAGAAATGCTAAAACTCTCCCGATATATATAATTGTAGAATCTTGAAAGCCTGTTTCCCCTTCTTTCCCTCTTGGACCAAAGAGAATCAAGGTGGAGTAACCTTGAGTTTCTTTCTCACACTTTCCCATATCTTGGGCTAAGCTCATATTTTTTTCAAGGCTGTATTTATACCTCTTTACACTGGAGCCTCCTGCTTTCCAGGTATGCCCTCTCTTTAGAAATGGTGGTGCCGATAAAACCTGCCCTAGTGGTAGCTTTGTAACTGGATGTCTATGGAGCTTCTCGGTCATCCAGGAGGTCACAGTTGTCCCAAAGGTGCTTTTCAAAAGGCAACTGATCTTTCTTGGGTTTTTTCTCCTTGGAAGTGCTTCGCTTCTCATCCAAGAAGCTTCTTCAGTTCTTTTGAAAAGTACCTTTGGGACTTTGCAGTTAGAGTTGAGGTCTCCAGTGTGGTGCCCGGAGGTATAATAAGCCTTCAGATACCTCTTTTAATCTCTGTCAGGAACTGAGACCCATTCTTACATCAAAAATAGAAACTAAAAGTTAAAAAAAAGGGGGAAGTAGGTATGCTACAGAGATAAACATCATCCTCCAGTGCAATCTTTGTTTCTAAGTATGTCCGAGGGCCTCATGGACTTCCTTAGAAAAATCACAAATTGCTGCCCAGGGTTTTGCTAAAGAAAACGACATAGGAGGATTCTATGTAGAATTTTGTAGCTGCTTCTGTCGGCAGCCCAGAAGGTGAGAACTTCCCAATAGTGCCCACCAGCTCAGAAAGGTTGGCAAATTCTTCTCTTCAAAATCCTCTTGTATATCACAAGAAAAAAAAATTTGGGGGGAGGGGGTCCCCCTTATATCTGACAAAAATGCATTGTTTTCCCTCAGTTTTAGAGTGAGTTATGTGGAAGGGTTTGCATCTATTCCTGACTTTTTGGTGAACTCCTCGGCTGTTATGAATTCTAACAAGCCCTACATTCTGCCGTGTGCTCACTGGCAATGTTAAATTTTATATCAAGGCTCTCAGTCAAGAACTATATTACCGTTGTTGTCTGCTATTTTTGCTTTATTTCCTTGTTAAAATAAAAGCAGATTTGAATTTATTCAAGTTAAATTCAACGGTTCCGGTTCCATACTAGGACCATTCCTGTATTAGGCCGGCTCAAAAGTCGCCAAAAGCACACTTTTTAATTTGACCGCAAGGTTGCAAAAACCCGATAAAAGAAGAAGAGGTTAAAAATGTCTTAATGTTGGTGGCAGAAAGGATTTCAGGAGAGAATATGGGAGGAGGCTGCAGACATTTAAATTAGCTTCTGCTCCCAGCTGGGATGGTTTCAGGTTTTAACCTGGTTAAACCCCTGGGATTACCAGTTTCAGATTGCAGTAAAATAAATGATACGCTTCTGCTCCTTCTTCCTTTCCCAGTAGATAAATACATTTAATTAAAACAGGTCTATTGTATCCTCCACAATAGGTACGCTGGAGCAGTTTTACACCTTATCAAAGATACAATAATATAATTTAAGTCACTGAAAGTAAATCTCCTTGTTTGCAGGAAGGGGTTTTCTTCTGAATAGCTTACACAGCATGCAGTATACATAAAGCAAGGAAGAGAAGATTCATCCAGCAGAGGTTATTTCTCTCTCTGCCAGGAACATTTGGCATGTGTGGGGCCCTGAAAAGGAATTTAAAGCACAGCCTTATTTATCTTTTATAAGTATAGTGTTAGGTGCTGCTGAGCCTCCTGTCCCACTGCGCAGGTTCACCACCTATTTAAAAGCAGAAGAAATCGTAAGACAAGGAAGTTGAAGAGAAGGGAGAATTGTTTTTTCCCCAGTTTGAGAAAAAAACTGAAAGGTAGATTACTGAATGAAGAAGAAATGGAAAGATTAAAAAAAGAAATACACGTAGAAGGAAAAGAGAAAAATAAATATTGGCAATTTTTCTTTTCCCCAAAAGAAGACCTATTACAGATTGTTTCTATTACTCTTGTAAACCCAACACAAGTTACCTCATTATTTTATTATTATTATTATTATTAAATTTATTTGCCACCTGCCTTGCTACGGGGCTATTCTAGGTGGTTCACAACCATAAGCAATGAAAAAAAGGAGGTTTGAACAAACAAAAGTTAAATAATAGAACAATCAGACAACAACAATAAGAAAACACATTGGTATGACTATTTAAAAAAAGACCTCATCTATATTGTGGTGGGTTTTGTTTTGTTTTTTAAAGAGAGAGGCACCTAAAAATGTAGTTTCCCTTATCTGACTTTAGTTCTTGTCTAGCATTCTCAGGAATTCTAATTTCCATCTTACTCGGCTAATTTGTTTTTTTTTTTTTTTTCCTTAACCTGTTCCAGAAATGTTGAAAATGGGTCCAGCTCTTCAGCCTCGACCAGTGACCAGGCCAGACATCCGTTTGAGGTGAGTTCTTTATGCATAAAATCTCCATTCAGTAAAATGAGTATAAATACATTGATAGACAATTAAGAAAACCCACAAAAGGTTTACCCAGGATCTTTATATCTTCCCCCTTTTTCTTTCAGAGAGGGGTGGGAGATTCCAGTCCTAAGAGACCCTGCAGTTGGGAAAGGAATGGAGAGCATCTGTTAGGGTCAATGGATGGTTTTCTTTTTGCCTGCTGAGAATTCGGTGCAGTGCCTAGAATCCTCTTCAGTCAGACCCCTGTTTCTCAGCCTTTTTCACTTTGAGGTCTGTGCACTTCAGTTCCCAGCATTGCTAGCTGGGGAATTCTGGGAGTTGAAGTCTACACATCTTAAACTTGCTAAGATTGGGAAACACTTGAGTTAGACTGGGGGTAGGCAACCTTGGCTCTTTTATGACTTGTGGACCTCAACTCCCAGAATTCCTGAGCCAGCCATTCTGGCTCAAGAATTCTGGGAGTTGAAGTCCACGAGTCATAAAAGAGCCAAGATTGCCTACCCCTGAGTTAGACCAAGCCAAGCGTTCTCAATTCCCTGGAGCCAGGCTGCTAGCCATAGTGAATCATCCATCCATTGTGGATTGAAAAGTTTTGTTCCTTCAACTCTGCTTCAGGTTTTGCAGCACAATTAGACAGGCTGGTGACTGTATACACCACTAGCTTCACGGACACCTCGCTTGGCACTCAATCAGACCCCTTTTTAAAATTTCAAGCGTAATGCAGGAAGCTCCTACAAAGAAGAAGCCTCTAGCATTATATTTATTTCTGTGAGTGCCTTTGGGCCTCACTGGCAGAAAATAGAAATAGAGGATCCATCCCGGGGCTTTCAATACTTAGCTATGCAGAAGAAACAGAAAAAGGAAGTTAGGTTGCTAAGGAGAGTCCTAGAGAAGATGGCAGAGGAAAAAAAACATTGGTAGATATTTTGGGACCGGCAGCCATTTTGTAAACAGGCCACTTTCTTGCCATAGCAACCATTTGATGAGAGTGCCTATGATTATGTGCTTCCAAAATTCCAGAGGTGCCAGAGTGGCTTTCCAGAGCTAAGACTGAATGGCAGAAAAGCAGAAAGAGGCACCCAAATCAGACATTTGGAGTTTCAATTTCCATAAGCTTCAGACAGGATGAATAATGGTGAAGGACTATGGGAGCTTTAATTCCACAGTGGGACGATGTCAGCTTACCTGTCCCCCATCACAGGCAGTGCTGGGCTTCTGGCCTGTCTCCACATGTCATCTTTCTCTATTCTAAGCAGTTTCCTTTTTTTTCCTGTCTGGCTCTTTCTCTCTCCTTTCTAGAATGTGGATCAACCCCTCTTCACCCTCCCGCAGGGCTACGGCCAGTTTGCCTTTGGGATAATCGACGACAGTTTTGAGTTCCCGGCCTTTGGGTCCAACACACAAACAGAAGATAACCGCGATGCTGAGAACAGGCGGGAGAGGGAACATCAGTCTCGGCACCGATATGGAGCCAGGCAACCTCGGGCTCGTTTCACCGCACGACGGGCGGCTGGCAGACATGAGGGAGTCCCCACACTAGAAGGGTGAGGACAGTTTATCCAACTCTAATGGTCAAGTCATAAGTGTCACTTCTTTGAATATAGGTCCTTTAAAACCATGGAAGTGGATTCCTGGTTCATGTTGACTGCTGATTCCATTTGGATGTAGGAGGACAGTAGTTTGGGGAGTGGGTGTGGGGAGTCTACCAAATTAGTTGGAACTGCACTGTCCACAAACTGGAAGGGCCACACCAGGTTGGAGATGAAAGGTCCTGTACAATTACAAGATTAAGTTGCAGTTCTTCCAGAGTTGAAGAATTGGGCACTGCACATTTCTCCAGCCACCATTTGAAGGTCACTATAGCAGGGGTCTCCGACCTTGGCAACTTTAAGACTTATGGACTTCAACTCCCAGAATTCTTCAGCCAGCATGAGACTGAGGAATTCTGAGAGTTGGTCCACAAGTCTTAAAGTTGCCAAGGTTGGAAACCCCTGCACTACAGCATGGCCACTGTAGAAAAGAAGGCAGCCAGCAATGCTTAAGTGATAGATCCATATGTTACTTCAGGGTGAGATTAGAAGAGGCAGTTTTGAAAAGTATGAGAAGGAAATACTTTATCCAAGAGTAAGCTTATCCTCTATTGCTTTAGAAAGATCTGCACTGAAGAATAACAGGATCATTCCGGGGTCCCCTTTGTAATAGTCAGCAGCACCATCCTTGATATCCACTAGCTTCTTTCCAGACCAGGTTGAAAACGAAAATAAGTGTGTTGAGAAGAAGACAGAATGGATGCTTTGAACCTTCAAGAGTCTGATGGGGCTCATGTATCCCTTTAAAAATCCCAAAGTGGGAAAATCAATCCAGGAGGTTGCAAAGGCTAACCATTTGGGGCCCAAACCAGTTGGTTTTGGACATGACAGATGGAGTGAGGGGAACTGTATACCAAGTCTTGAAAAATAAAACAGAAAGCAGTTATAGACGAGTGCTTTGCTTATGCTCACCTGGCCGGAAAAAAAGGACAAGCGTGAGCTGGGATGATTGAGAGAAACCTGGGACTAGAAGGAGGAGGGTGGTATGTTGGTTGGGTCAAGGACAACTCGGCTCAGCCAGCTCATCGCCAGCAGCTCACTGCTGACAGCTCACCATCACCAAGTTGCTTCTGCCAACTCAGCAGTGCCAAGTTGCTTCTGCCAACTCAGCAGTGCCAAGTTGCCGCAGGACAACTCAACACAGCCGACTTGTCACAGAGACAACTTGCCGCGGGTGGCTAGAAGGAGAGCTGGGTGAGTAAGTGGGTAGGCAGAGTGCAGAGCGGTGGCTGGGGGCTTCCCATTTTCACACACACACACACTGCCGCGGCCGCTGTTGTCCCTAGCTCTGGGCCGAAGAGGCCAAGGAAGGCAGCAGCAGCTGGAGGCATCCCATTTTCACACACACCTCAGCGGCACTGCTACCGAGCTCTAGGCAAAGAGGCCGGGGTCAGCAGCAGTGGGGAGTGTGAAAATGGGACCCCCTCTTCCCAGCCACCCGCCGTCCTGCCCACCGTCACCACCACCATACCTGGCTTTTTCGGCATGGAGCACGGCACGGCAGCAGTGGTGGGGCTGTGAAAATGGGATGCTCTTGGCTGCCGCACTCCCACCTGCAGCCGTCCCCGGTCTCTTTGTCCTGGAGCTCAGCAGCAGCAGCCCCAGAGGGTGCGAAAACGAGAAGTCCTCCAGCCGCCACCACTCTGGGCTCTGTGCATCTGCCTGCCCGCCCAGCTCTCCCTCTGGCTGCCCACGGCGAATTGTCCCCATGGTGAGTTGGCTGTGTGAAGTTGTCCTACCACGACATGGCAGCAATGAGTTGGCAGAGGCAACTGGGTGGCGGTGAGCTGGCAGCAACGAGCTGGCCGCACTGAGCTGGCTGCACCTAGTTGTCCCATTCTGATGTTAGTTATATGGACTATCTATTTATTTTATTCCATTTAGTGTCGCCTAAGTTGAAGCAACTCTGCTGGCTCATGACACACCAGACAAACTAAACTAGAACAGAACAGAACAAAAATAACAATCAAAACAAAACAAAACAGGATAGAAATCATAGAATTCATTCCCTAATAGTGCCCCTAGTACAGGTAGTTTTTGACCTCGGGTAGCAAATGTTTTGAGTTACGGCAGACCTAAAGAAAGGTATTATGAGGGCTGTGAAGTGGTATTAAGGCTAAGTGCTATGGCTACAACCTGGGTTTGAAGTTCCAACGACCAGCCCCTCCCCTTCCCCCGTGATCACATGATTGCATTTTGGGTGCTCGACTACCAGCCTGTATCTGCAGCCATTTGCAATGTCCTGCAGTCATGTGACCACCAGCTTTTACTTTCAGTTTCCAGCAAAAAAAAGCACCCATTGGAAACGATGGGTTTTTGCTTAGCAACCGTAGCATTTGCTTAACGATTGCAGATTCGCTTTGCGACTGTGTGGTGATTTACTTAACGCAGAAAATGTAAAGCCGGATCAGTCACGTGATGACCCACTTAATGACCGGCCCAATTTAAAACCACAATTCCAGGCTCAATTACGGTTATAAGTTGAGGATCACCGGTATTCTCTTAAAATTCCACATATTCCTCCCATCACCCAGAAATTAAGGAACCGTCAGCTCATTCAGCAACTCTCTTCTCCCTGCTCCAGAATGCCCCAGAAATTTTATTATTTTATTTATTTATTTATTTGTTTTTCTTTTGGCAGAATTATCCAGCAGCTGGTCAACGGAATTATAGCACCGACCACGATACCAAATCTCGGAGTGGGACCTTGGTGAGTCGGTCAGAGCATTGCTTTAGATCAATGTATCTCAAGCTTAGCAAGTGTAAGAGGTATGGACTTCCAACTCCCAAAATTCTGGCTGACGGGGGAATTCTGGGAGTTGGTCCGCACGTCTTTAAGAAGAAGAAGAAAAAAAAAGTGGAATTCTTAGGCTTATTCTAAGAATCCTCCAAAGTCAATAAACCTTGACCCTCTGCCTCACGGCAGCCAGCCAGTTCCAGTGAAGGCTTAACGTTTCCTCCTGTCCTTTCTTTGTTTTGGTGCTTTCTATTTATAAAGGGGAGTCTTGCATTCAAATCCCATGGACTACGCTTGGGGCGCCAACGGCTTGGATGCCATTATTACTCAGGTACAGCTGGCTGTGTGTAGGGCACATCTCTTCCTTTGGAGGGGCAGGGAGGGGGGGGCAGAACGGTGGCATACAGAGGGCTCAGAGCTTAGGACCCTCACGTCCTCTTCTGTGGGCTCCCACTGAGATACAGCTTAATTCTAGGAGGCTCAAGTCCCATTAGCTAAAGCAGCGGTTCTCAACCTGTGGGTCGCGACCCCTTTGGGGGTCGAACGACCCTTTTACAGGGGTCGCCTAAGACCATCGGAAAACACATAATTACATATAATGCTTTAATTATGTTCAATTTGTAACAATGAAAATACATCCTGCATATCAGATATTTACATTACGATTCATAACAGTAGCAAAATTACAGTTATGATGTAGCAACGAAAATAATTTTATGGTGGGGGGTCACCACAACATGAGGAACTGTATTAAAGGGTCGCGGCATTAGGAAGGTTGAGAACCACTGAGTTAAAGGGAAACTCCATGTTAGGGAAGAATCCAGCCCAGGACTTGTAGTTAGAGGCCAACAGCAGAAAAAGTCTGTAGCCTACAAATCCTGCTTGTGTGGTTTGTGCAGGTACTGGGCTAAAACCAGGGAGGAAACAGAGTGTTTACTATTGAGCCCAGCTTGGTCTGTGCAGCAAATGTATATAAAAACTGTATAACTATTTACAGTTACAAACACGACCAAGGTGAGATCCTTCCAAGTATCCATATTTTGGTTAATATTACTTACAGGTAGTCCTTGACTCAAGCCATTCATTTAGTGACTGTTCGAAGTTATAGCACTGGAAAAAAAATGAAAATTTTTTTCATACTTAACGACCGTTGCAGCATCCCCGTGGTCATGTGATCAAAATTCAGACGCTTGGCAACCGGCATGTATTTATGACGGTTGCAGTGTCCCAGGGTCACGGGATCTCCTTTTGCCACCTTCTGATAAGCCGTCAACAGGGAAGGCAGGTTCATTTCACAACCGTGTCACTAGCTTGACAGCTTGCAGTGATTCGCTTAACTCTGGCAAGGAAAGTCGTATAATGGGGCAAAAGTCATTTAACGGCTGTCTCGCTTAGCAACAGAAATTTTGGGCTCAGTTGTGGTCGTCAGTCAAGGATTACCTGTACTAATAATTCTTATCATTTGGTTAGTATATGAATAATTTGGCGGTAACTGTGTACATGTCTCCCATCAAACATTTGGAGTTAGAAAGCGGATGGGAACGGGAGGTTTTAAGCATGTGGGGTTCTTGTTCTGAAAAATAGTTTAAAGCAGTGTTTCTCAGCAACTTTTAAGACAGGTGGACTTCAACTCCCAGAATTCCCCAGCCAGTCAGCCGTGCTGGCTGGAGAATTCTGGGAGTTGAAGTCCATCTATCTTAAAGTTGCCAACTTTGAGAAACACTGGTTTAAAGGAGGCTGAAACTTGGGTTTTGTAGAGCGGCTCAGTGGAATGGAGGCGCTTTTGAACGGGACAGCAGAAGCCTAGCCTGAAAATTGGAGGATTGGAAGTGGTTGTGCTTCCTTGGCTAGCGCCTGTCCAAGCTCATCTGGAGGAGTTCAGTTGGTTTTTTGATCATAACTGAGCTTTTAAGTTTGTGACCTCTAGACTGGCTCCTAGCTGCTCTCGCCATCTTTATTGGGTGGGTGGGTAAGTAGCCCCAACAGGCAAAGGAGAGGGTTGCTGTTACGTTGCCATTAACAGGAGGCTGCAAATTTAGCTGACCCTGGTTATCCGGATACCCAGGCCTAAGACAGTGTGGATGGTGGGGGTGTTGTTTTTTAGACATGGACTGCTACACTGGGGTTCAAACGGGATGCTGAGACATTCCCCCCCCCCCCAAATGGACAGGCGGGAGGAAGGACAGCCTGTAAGAAGAATTCATTTTAACCCTGAATTTATTTCAGCAGGCTGACCTTCTCTGAGCTAGGAAGTTGTGAAGGCTTTGGCCTGGGTAATTCTTGGATGAGAGACTCCAGGGAATTCCAAGCTTGATTTACAGCCACAATCTGGCAGCAGCGTTGGGACTGTTCACTCCTTCCTTTGTCACCCTCTTTCTTTCTTTCAGCTGCTGAATCAATTTGAAAACACCGGCCCACCTCCTGCAGACAAGGAGAAGATTCAGGCCCTTCCAACCATTCATATAACAGAGGAACATGTCGGTAAGGGCGTCCTCATTTTTCTGCCTCTCTTTCCCCCCCCTCTCCTCCTCCCCCCATACATTCAGAAAGACCTGGATCCCCTCTAATCCAGTGTTTCTCAACCTTGACCATTTTAAGGCATGTGGACTTCAACTCCCAGAATTCCACAGCCAGCATTGCTGGCTGTGGAATTCTGGGAGTTGAAGTCCACATGCCTTAAAATGGTCAAGGTTGAGAAACACTGCGTCTAATCAGAGGTTTCATTTGAATAGCATTATTATTTTTAACAGATTCTGCTGTCTTATTGTTAAGTTTTTGTTGGCCAGCTTTCCTCCTCCTCCTCCTTTGTCCCTTGGTTTATTCTCCACTTCAGGGTTGGCGGCTTTAATTCCTTTCTGTGGTTGGTAACCAGAGACAGGCAAGGTTTCCTAGGCTCACCCTAGATTAACTTGGAACCGATCTCAGCTTGTTCCTCAAACTTCAGAAGATTACGGCTTTGGTTTGTTGCCAAGGGCCTGCAAAACAGAACCACCTTTCATTCTCTTTAATCTCCTCCTATTCACACGGAATGGGGACATATTTCTCAAGCCGAGCCTTGCTCCTTTGACTACAGTGCTGTATTATGTTCAGCACCTGAAGCTGACAGGCCGAAGAAGACTGGCGTTTCGGCCTTCCGAAAAGAAGCAGAACCGTAAATGTCTTCAGCCACCCAGTCAGTAGGTTGAGAGCAATGTAGGGGTAGTTCTCGACTTAACAACCATTTAGTTCAGCGGTTCTCAACCTATGGGTCGCGACCCCATTTGGGGTCGATCGACCATTTCACGGGGGTCGCCAAGCAAGGCTGTCCGCCATTTTTTTCCCCTTTTCCGGCGGGTGCCTTACCTCCCTTGGGCTGGGCCAGCTGGTGGTCGGCCTGCTCCGTCTCTGCCGCTTGCCAGCTACGCCTCGGCCGGCGCAGGGG